CTGGGAATAAAGATATTCTATGAGCAATCAAAATGATCCAAGCCCAATTTTCATTGTTGATTTCTATCAAGATATAGAAATGAAAGTAAAATTAATGAAACAAAAAAGTTTTGAATTCACAAATAAGCCAGGTAAATTGTTGACTTGGCAACTTAAAAAAGAAAGGAAGGCCAAGATAAGAAATAAGTTTTTTGATGAAGGGAAACACTTGACAAATTCAAAAGACATAAGAAAGGTCTTTGTAAAATTTTATACAGCATTAAATAGATGTGAGAAGATCGTGAGAAAATGGTATCTTTATTTGAACAACTGCAATATACCCAAAGTTGCTAAAGAGGACGTGAGGGCTTTAAATGCACCCATATCAATGTTGGAACTGCAGTTGGCGATTAGCCAAATGAAAACCGGCCCAGATGGAATCTCTATAAAGACACTTAAGGTGAAGGGTAAAGGGACCCCTGACCAATAGGTCCAGTCGTGACCGACTCTGGGGTTGCAGCGCTCATCTCACTCTATAGGCCGAGGGAGCTGGCGTACAGCTTCCGGGTCATGTGGCCAGCATGACTAAGCTGCTTCTGGCAAACCAGAGCAGCGCACGGAAACGCCGTTTACCTTCCCACCGGAGCGGTACCTATTTATCTACTTGCACTTTGACATGCTTTCAAACTGCTAGGTTGGCAGGAGCAGGGACCGAGCAACGGGAGCTCACCCCGTCACAGGGATTTGAACTACTGACCTTCTGATCGGCAAGTCCTAGGCTCTGTGGTTTAACCCAGAGTACCACCCGCGTCCCTTATAAAGACACTTAGGAACCACTTAAAGACACTATGAACAGAATCTTGATGAAAGGAGAGGTTCCTGAATCATTGAAAAATGAATTTATCACCCTGATCCCAATCCAAGACTGTGATTTAATGAGGACTAATAGACCGATTTCTTTATTTAATTGTGATTATAAACTATTTGCTGCAATTTTAGCTAATAGATTAAAATGAGCTTTGAGGGAGTGCATTCACAGAGATCAAGCAGGTTTTCTTCCAGGCTGCCAACTGAAATAAGGAATGTAATTAATTTGATAGAATATCTGGAAGAAAGACTTGAAAAACAAGCTGCTTAAATTTTTCTAGATGCTGAGAAAGCCTTTGATAACATTTCTTGGTTATTTATGATTAAGATCCTAGAGAGGATGGAGGTTAGGTGACACTTTCCTAGCAGGAATTAAAGCAATCTATACTGAACAATCTGCAAATATTTGAAAATAATAATCTCTTGGACAAATGCCCAATAAGTAACGGGACTAGACAAGGCTGCCCTTTATCCCCACTGTTGTTTATTTTGACAATGAAAATGTTGTTACATAATTGAAGGAGGAATAGGGAAATTAAAGGTATAGAGGTAGGGCATCAATCATATAAATTAAAAGCATTTGCTGATGATGTGGTATTAACATTGGAACAACCTATAGCGAGTGTCCCCAAGGGATTAGAATAAATTAAAAGATTTGGAGAGGTGGTGGGCTTTACAATAAACACACAAAAGACTAAAATGCTGATGAAAAACATGGACAACTAGTCGATAAAGGTAGCCTAAAAATAATTAAGAAAGTGTAATATCTAGGGATCTGGTTGATGGTGAGATATCTTATTTCAAGATAACTACATTAAACTATGGAAAGAGATTTAAAAAATAATTAGAGATTTGAGGAAGGATGAAACTTTCTCTACTAAGGAGAATTTCAGCTATCAAAATGAATGTGCTCCCAATATGCTGTTTTTATTTCAGTCGATCCTGATTGTTGACAAACCAAGTTGCCTCAAGGATTAAACATAAAATTTTGATTGACACAAAAGAAAGAGGAGGCTTTGCTCTGCCAGATCTACAATTGTACTATGAGACAGCTTGTCTGTATTAGCTAAGGCAATGTATTGTATTGGAGGATGCACACATTTTAGATTTGGAAGGCCACAATATGAAGTTCGGTTGGCATGCATGTCTTTCGTATGGGAAAGCTAAAACATATAAGAGTTTTATTAACCATTTTATCAGGAGAAATTTGTAGAGTCTGGGAGAACATAAAAATTTGCTGGAAAGAAAAACACCCCTATGGTTGTCCCCAACTGAAACAATTGCAATCAAAAGAATAAACATGGAAAGACAGTGGGTGGCCTATAGAGATTTGTTGGACTTTTCAGGGAACAAACCCAGATTGAAACCACTGGAAGAAGTAAGGAGCCAAGTTACTGATTGGCTTCAGTATCACCAACTACATGATATCATTAAATTAGATAAGAAAAATGGATTTTGGACCAAAGTTCACAATTTGAAAAAGATTTATTGATGAACAAGGAAAAAAGTATTGCCCAAAATGTATAAACTATTATTGGAATGGGAAACAAAAGATGAGCTGGTTCATTGCCCACTGAGCAATGGATATAGGATATAATGTAGACTTAAACCTCTGTGAGAAATTTCGGAAGAATGACCTGAAATTTACTGCATGCCACACACTGAAAGAGAATTAAATGAAAATGATCCATAAATGGTATTTAACTCCGAGTAGATTGACTAAGATGTATAAGGTGGAATCAGGCTTATGTTGGACCTGCAAAAAGGTTAAAGTATATTGGAAAATGATATACAATGTGATGAAACGGATGTTTAAAACAACTTTCCCAAAAAAACTCGAGGCATTTCTGTTGGGATTTCTGTTTAATTTGAAATGTAGAAATTGGAAGTTTAATTTTAAAATGTAATTAAAAAATAGGATACTGTTAAATGTTAAGAGGGAGGAAACTGATATCTGAGTGGGAGGGGTAATAGAATGGAGAGGCTGGAACAAGAGGACAGAGAAAAACTTTAGGACCACAGTTGTGGCACAACCTTAAGGCTGTGTCACCTGAATTGCATTCTGTCATTATAATGAGAAATGGGGAGAAAGTAGGTTACAGTTAGGAAAGGATACAATGGGCTGACTTGAAACTTGGCAGTGAAAGAACACTAAGTTTGAGGATAGCCCATACTGAATTTGGGGTAGAAAAGACATGAAACTGCTTTTTTAAAAACAAGTTAAATGCATGATTGGCTTTGGGAAGTGGGGAAGTGGTATGCATTTTCCTTCCACAGACTTTCTTGGAGTGGTTTGGGGGAAGGTTTTGTTCTACATCTTCTGGAAAACTGTTCAGTTAGGCCAAGGGGAACATCTAGTATGGGGAACAAGGGGAACATCTACAACACATTTCCCATGTGTTGTGGGAAATGTTCTGTGGGTTTTATTTACAAGGCATTTTGTACCTGTTTTGAAAGGTTACATACCCTCCGACATTTATACAATGAAAATAGGGATGTCCTATTATTATTATTCTCATCATCATCATCATCATCATCCTGCCCATCACTCTGGGTGGCTTCCTACATATATAAAAACATAAACGTTTAAAAAACTTCCCTATACAGGGCTGCCTTCAGATGTCTTCTAAAGCTTATATCTCCTTGGCTCGGGGAGCACATAACTCCATACCCCCCAACATTTCTCTGATGAAAATAGGGATGTCAGGGACGCGGGTGGCGCTGTGGGTAAAACCTCAGCGCCTAGGACTTGCCGATCGCATGGTCGGCGGTTCGAATCCCTGCGGCAGGGTGCGCTCCCGTCGTTCGGTCCCAGCGCCTGCCAACCTAGCAGTTCGAAAGCACCCCTAAGTGCAAGTAGATAAATAGGTACCGCTTTATAGTGGGAAGGTAAACGGCGTTCCGTTTGCTGCGCTGGCTCGCCAGATGCAGCTTGTCACGCTGGCCACGTGACCCGGAAGTGTCTGCGGACAGCGCTGGCTCCCGGCCTCTTGAGTGAGATGGGCGCACAACCCTAGTCTGTCAAGACTGGCCCGTACGGGCAGGGGTACCTTTACCTTTACCTTTAAGGAAAAAAGGACATCTGAGGATCAAATCAGAAATCAGGATGGCTTCTATAAATCTAGAACTGTCCCTGGAAAATAGGGACACTTGAAGGGTCTGAGGTTATGTGTGGGTGTGTATGAATAAAATGTTGGGTGGAGTGAAAATGAGAGCTAGGCAGAGAGGGTTGGTTGAAACATGACAGTGTGGCTCTGTGAGGGACAGAAAAGGACCGGGGGGGAAGGTGAGATATAAATACTCGCACCCCACCCTCAGTGCCGCAGCCCTCCCAGGACCTCCTCACTTGACTCTTATATGAGGGAGAAGCAAATGGGAAAGGAGGAGGGATTAAAGAAGCTGGGAGTGTGGCAGTGGATGGGGATTAGATACAGGTTAGATGTAGAAGGAAAGGAAGAAATTACAGGAGATGAGTAAAAATAATTTGACAGGTATATTTGTGTAAAAGCAGAATAAGAACCTCCAATTAGAGCCTTTGGAATAGCAAATTATGCAAAAATTGGGGGAAATGAGTAATAATACTTCCAGAGCCAATGTCTGTACTTTGATTGACTGCATAATCTGAACTGTTAAACTCCCTGCCACAAGGAGATTGCTGTGGCAATCTTTTTTAGCAACTTCCAAAGAGGGATTACATATCAATAGAAAACTGTTAGTAGCTGCTAGCTGATTACCTCCCATCAACTGCCATTGCACTGCCATTTTGTGCAATGCCATTTTGTGATGGATGGCCTAAGTAATTTTCAACCCTGGGTGCAGAAAATTTGAGAGATGCTGATACAGAAGAAGTAGGTTCTGTCAGTCAATTTGTAATCCAGTTAATGAAATTTCGTTATGTAACACAAGTTCAAATCAGTGTTTTCGTCATATAAGATATTACCGTAAATAATTCTCAATATACTCAATGACAACGGATTTATCCCCAGCTAACAGCGCAGATGATTCATCCCTCTGATGTCATCTGGATTATTAATATTTCCAGACCCAACACTTA